AAGATGGCGAAAGAGAGCCCCGAGAAAGGCCCAAGAGAGCCCCAATGCGGCCCCACCAGCGCCCAGGAGCGCCCCGAGAGCGCTCCAAGACGGGTCTAGGAGACGATTTTCAGCACTCTCGATGGGGCTTTGCTAATTGAAGCTCCCCTCGTGTTTGATCGATGTCGTCCAAAATGGCATCAAGAAAGCTTCCGAGGCGCTCCAAGAGGCTCCCAGGAGGCCCCCAAGAAGCCCCGGGACGGCCCAAGAAGCCCCCTTGTGGCGTATATGACTCGAGGCCGTTGGCTGCACACCTCCAGCGACCCCCCCCCCCCCCCCCCGAGGCTCCAAGACGACCCCAAGAGGGCCCCAAGAGGACCCTGGGAGGAACCCGCAGTCTCCCACCCAGACTGGACATCTTTAGTTTGAATAAGTACTACCCCACAGTCGCCGTCTTGAAGCCCTATTGGGGCCCTCCCGAAGCAGTCTTGGGTGCCGTTGGAGGCATCCTGGGGCCCTATTGGGGCCATGGGAGAGCTCCTGGAAGGCCCCAATAAGATCCCGCGAGGGCCCCGAGAAGGCCTCGAGAAGGACCCAAGTGGATCCCAAGCGGCCTCCAGAGCCCCCCACCCCCGAAGCACCCAAGGCGCCCAAGGCCCCCCCAGGACCGCCAAGAGACCCCAATGCACCCCCTGAGGCACCCAATGTCCGCCCAAGAGATATCCCAAGATATTCCGAGAGGCATCCAAGAGGCTTGTGGCCATTGTGCTCGCCCTCCTCTTCGATCCTCCTCTTCATCCTACTCCTCTTCCTCCTCCTCCTCCTCCTCCTCCTCCTCATCGTAATCATCACCTTGCCAATCTTCCCTCATCAATCCATCCGTCATCCTCCTTATCATTCTCCTTCGAACGGTTCGGCTGCCCCCCTCCTTCCTCCTGCACTTCAATCATCACCTCAACTCGCCTGGGCGTCGTCCTTGGACGGGCAGGCAGGGATGCGCGAAGCGACAATAATTCCAAACCGTACTCCAATCGTTCAAGGCGGACGCCACGGCGTTCTCCGCCTCCTCGAGGTCGACGTGCTTGACCGCCTTCATGCAATGAGTGGCCAGTGCGACCACCTCCGACGCCTTCTCGTCCCCCGAGCGAATCAGCGGGATGAAGACCTTCTCGAAGACGACGTTGTTGAACAACTGGATCTTGTGGTTCATGTGCTCGCCGCACGCTGCCACGCGGGGGTCTCTGGGGTCGAACAGAGCAGCTTGGCCGCTGACTGGTCACGGCGTGCAGATCTCAAATACCAAGCCCCAGTTCTTCTCGGCAATGGTGCTTTGCAGTCGCTTCGTCAGCAGGGCGTTCTTGACGACATCTGGCCACACCACGCCCTCCTGGACCATCCTGTCAATGTGGGGAGTGAGCTCACTGATGGGCGTACCTTTGATGGACTCTGGGGTTAGCTGCTCCGCAGAGGCCGCCAACTTGATGAGGTTGCCCAGCAGTGACGCCTCAATGTTCTCGTCGCCCCCTTGGGCCTTCATCCTCGTGAGCGCCCTCCGCGCCCCCGACATCGTGCGCCCGTCCAGCGTTCTGGACATGATCGCACTCAAGTCGATCTTGGCCTTCCACTTCTCGACCGATCCTGGCGGCGGCAATGCCATGGGAGGGGGGTTCGTTTACCCCCTGGAGCACAAGCGTTCGACTCATCACTGCACCACGAGGCACCAACTATTTCGGATGTAGGGAGGTGGTCTGGACGGTGCACGGCGCCGCACGGCACACATCGAACGAGATCCGTGACTCAGCGAATGCATGCCTACCCATTCCAAGCTCGCCCCGTCGGGGCCGCGACATGCCGCCCCAAACCAGCCACGCAGAAGCCCTCCATGATTGCAAGCTAGCCGCCGAATAAGTCCTGGAGACGTGCCATCATCTGCTGCAGGCCTGCTGGTGCCCCAGGAGCGACGGCTTGTCCCGCCCACGGCCGACTGGGCGACACTGCGCCCGCCATCCGAGTCGGCGTCATCGCTGGGAGCCCCGCGCGAGGGCACCGCCTGGTTGTTCTCCTTCGCCGGCGTCGCCAACAGAAGTGCCCCGAAACCGCCCCCCGAGGCCATGGCAGGGCTTGAGGCCGCCCCCGCGCCCGAGGGAGCGGTGGTCGAACCACCCGAGTCGGACTCGCCATCGCCAGGTTGACTGCCAGCGCCGCCAGATCCGACATCTAGCTTCGCCGTCTTACCTTTGGAGGCGGCCTTGTCCTTGCGAAACTTCGCGAGGAAGTCATCCACAGTCTGCGTGTGCATGTTCTCGTCCTTGGTCAACAGCTGCTGCACGCCCTTGTCGCCGACGTCCTTGCCGTAGAAGTGCTGGAGGTAGGTGTCGGCCTGGTCTCCCCAGTAGTTCGTCTCCGCTGTCATGTGGGCGACCTCCTTCCTGACGCCTGTCTCCATGATAACTTGCAGTGTCCGGAATGGTTGAGAGTCGTCCTTGAAACACATCACACTCTCAAGCTTGGACGGGTCCCGCTCGGACGGCACCGTGACCCGCGGGATGTGGCTCGTCATCGACTTCGCAAGCTCCGTCTTCTCCTTCGCCGCCTGCCTGAGCTCCTTGTCGCTGGCGCAGACAAAGCTCCTCATCGTCCGCAGCTTGCGCGTCACGTCGGAAGCCACCGAGACGTCGTCGACGGGCTTGCCCTTGCCAGTCAGTCTGGCGGCCCGAGCATTCTCGACGTTGGCCTTCACGATAGGGTCATTCGCATTCATCTCGCAAAGCTCATGCCACGTCCAATGCTCGAAGGACTCGTTGTGCAACTTGCTGCACTCCTGGCACTTGTCATCGAGCGGGATCTCGGCACCAGAGTGCAACGTCTTGGCGTTCGCCCACGGCCTGTCCCGCGGGGAGGGCGAGTGGCGTGAGGTATTACTACTACCGCCACCACTACTACGACCACTACCATTACCACTACTACCACTACGACGTCGTTTTAGCACGTATCCTACTACTACTGCTGCTACTACGAATACTACAAATACTACTACTGCGACTGCTTGTACTATTTAGTTGCACCAGTAACATGAGGTTCGAAGAAAGCCAGAATCAAGTTTTCACTGCGCAGGTCCTTGCTGGGCTTCCCAAGGCAGAGGCCGCACTTGCACTGGTCGCCGCACATGCGCCTCTTCTCGGGGGCAACGGCCGGCGGCGGCGCGTCGAAATCCCCGCCGCCACCGACGGCAGAGGCCAGGCGCCTCCTGCCTGCCTTGGCAGGCGGCTGGCCCTCTGCCCCGCCCCCCTTGGCGGCCATGTCCAGGCCGCCGCGGCGCTGCTGTGAAGCTGGCCTGGCAGGCCTAGTCCACCCGCCCCGCTTGATCCCGAGCGGCATGAGAGTACGGCGACAGCGATCGGGACTCCCAAGACACCGTGAGATAATTACGCGGGCTCTTTCTCATCATCGGGGCGATCTCTCATACTGAAATGGATCTGTCTCGCCATGGGGAGCCTTATTTCTCAACATGGGGATCGTTCTCATCATTGAAGGTTCTGTCTCATCATAGGAGCTCCTTCTCATCATGTGGCTAGTTCTCAGCATTGGGGCTATTTCCCATCATTGGGGGTTCTTTCTCATCATGAGACTCTTTCTCATCGCGGCGGCTCTTTCTCATCATTGGGGGGCCCTTCTATGATCGGGGCTCTGTCTCACCAGTGGATCCGAAGGAAGGAGAGCGAAGAGGGGGGGGAGAGGGGGGGAGAGAAGCGGGGAGAAGAGGGGGAGGCAGAGGGATGGGGGGAGCCCAGAGGAGGGGGCTGGAAGGGGGGGGGGTGAGAAGGGGAGGAGGGAGAGGAGGGGCGAAGAGGAGGGGCAATTACTGCATGTTCAATCGAACTTCCTTGGGCGTCTCGCGCCTTCTGGAACGTCGGCCGAGCGGACCTGCAAAAAATGCGAGCGCCTCCGTCGCTCGTGAACGTGATCCACGTCCATATCCTCCTTATCCTCCTCCTCGCTGGGTGAATCGTTCGACCCCCGCTGCCAAACCCCCTCCCTCTCCCGCCCTTCCCTCCCCCATCCCGTTGCCCTCCTCGCCCTGTCCCGAAGGCGCAGCCCTGACTGAACCAGCGCGCTCGGACCGAGGTGGCGCGCTGGAGAGATCGGACCGAGATGGCACACCGAGGGCCCTCCCACAAAGATATTAGAGGGCCTCATACTAGCCCACCGAGGGCCTTCCCACCGAGGGCCCTCCCCAAAAGAGCTTAGATCGAAAACTGACGACCTCGCATGCGCCATCTCAGTCGGCTCAGCCTCTCGGGCACTCTCACTCAGAATGTTCGGGGCGACTATTCAAAAAAACTACACTCGCCACTGCTGCTCGATGGCGACGCGGGGGCCGCAGCGACGGGCACAGGAATGCGCTTGATCGAGCCGCGCGGCATCGCCTTCACCAAGAGGCGCCCTGCCTTGGAGGGCATCCTGGCGAGGCGGTGCTTGATCTAGGAAACCGATTTCCATGTCATCATGATCGCCCGTGCTCCATCATATATGCAGCCTTACTCGATCCTGATCTAGCCTCTATCACATGTTACTAGAACCTAACATACTATATCCTATTCCGCCAATGTATTGGAACAGTCGCTGTCTTACTCAGGTCATCGATCCTACTCTACAGGATCCGACTCTTGCTTATCTACCACACTCTACTCTATCCTAGTCTGCTCTGGGATATCCTGCTCTACTCTACTATACCCTACTCTGCTCTACTCAAGCCTACTCTACTCTGTTATACCCTACAGCCAACTCTACTATACCCTAGTCTGCTCGACCCTCTCATACACTGCTCATCTACCCCGCAATGCTGTATATTACCCAGGTCATCTGTCCTACTCGACTCTATCCCACTCTGCTATGTCCTACTATGTCCTATTTTACCCCAGGTCATCATATCCTACTCTATCCTACTCTGCTCATCTACGCTACCTGTTCTACCCTACGCCTCCATCATATGATACCCGCCCTCTCCAACGGAAACAAACATGAGCTCCGTGATGGTTTTCTCGGCGGTGGCTCCGACCTTCTTGCCCTGCAGCTTGCACACGCCAGGCACGATGACGCAGCCCCTGGGGCCCTTGAGCTGCTTGACCACCACCGACGCCAACGCGGTGAGCACGCGAGCCGTGTCGTACTCGGAAACCTGCGGAGGTATATGCCGATCAAGACAGACACTTGCATGCAAATGCTTGCCTCGATCGGCACACACCCCACCAGTAACTTTTACTCTAGAGAGATCCGAGGATTGCACATGCCCCTGGAACCTTGTGACCCCCCTCGCCGTGCGCGCCCCGCAAGCCGCGAGTCTCCTCGCTGACGAGCGCGTGCAGATCGCCCTTGCAGATCGCAACATTGCTGATGCTGGCACGAGCGGGAGCGGCGCCAGGTGCAGCGTCTCCAGCTCGGGCGCCTGGACCCTCTGGCGCCGCCGCCACGTTGCCCCCGTTCTCGGCCGCCATTACCCAGGCGAGTGAACACGAATGGATGCGGCCGAGCCGCGGGCCTCTGGATGTAGACGAAAAACCTCCCAGGGGCCGGGAGACTCTGGACTGAACCGAGACGCTCTGGATGGAGGCGACGTGAGCGTGGCAAAGTCGGAGAAACAAGTGAAGCCCTGAACCCTTCCGTCCTCCTCCCCCATCGCCCCTCCTGCCCTTTGCCCGCCCCCTCAACGCGCCCTCTTAATATGCCCTGATTGTTTATGTTTCCTCCATTATCGGCCTCCTCCTCCCTGTGCTTCTGCTCCTCGCAGGAGCGCCAGGGCCACTCGGGCAGAAGCGAGGGGGCGCGGCGAGAGCAACGTGGCATCGCAATCCACGGGGCCGCCGAACATCACTCCGCGGGGGGGGGGGTACTTAGCGCACGCCGCTGCGGCTGCGTATGCGTAAGCACGTGCTGGCCCTTCTTTAGCCATAACGCATGTCTGACCTACTTTCAACCTACTTTGGAACTAGTTTTGACATCCTTAAAACCTACTTTTGACCTAGTTTGGAGCTTCTTTTAGCGAAGCCTAACCTAGTTCCAACCTACTTCCAAGCTAGTTCTGACCTACTTTCGACCTAGTTCCGACCTGCTTCCACGCCAGGCGTCGCCAGCAACGGGTGAGAAACGCAGGTGCAGAGCATGCGTACGAGGTCCTACCCACTGGCACCCAAGAGGCGCACGATCGCTAGCGGTGCCTATCTCGAGGGCATGACTGGGTCACTGACCTACTTTGGGACTTGGAGGCCGGACCCGCCCGACCTACTTTTGAGCTATATGCATCGAGCACATAGAATTGAAAAGTAGGTACAGTGACCCGAGGCGGGCCGCACAGTAGGTACCGAAGTAGGCCGGGGACCATGTCGGGGGTCCTAACTGCCCCGATGAACCTATCGCGGTCGCTACCTCATCCTCGCCATCACCGTCCGAAGCAGTTCTCATCCTCACGGGGCCCTCCGAGATCCAGCTTGGAGTCATATCGAGGCCCATGCTGGCCTGAGCGCGATAAACACGAGTGGGCCCGATGGGGCCCCATGAGGGATCCAAGATGGCCCTAACAATATGGATTGCATGATCATGCAATGCGTCTGGGCCCTGGTTGGTCCCATCTTGGGGCCCCTCTTGGGGCCATCCTGGGGCCCTCTTGGAATCTTATTCGGTCCCCGCCAGCAGCTTTCCCATGGCCCCAGGAGGGCTCCAAGATGGCCCCAAGGGTGCCCCAAGAGAGCCCTCCCAGAGCTCCTAGACGGCCCCAAGAGGGCCCCAAGAAGGCCCCAGGAGATCTCCGAGAGGGCCCCAAGGCGGCTCCAAGAGGCCCCCAAGAGGGCCTCAAACAAGCTCTATGCATAGAGTTGGTTTGGGGGGCCCTCTTTTGGGGGCCACTTGGAGCCCCTCGTGGGGCCCTCATGGGCCCTCTTGAAATCTTCTTGGGACCCTGTAGGAGCCCTCCCACAGCTCCAACGGGGCCCCAAGAGTAATGCATGATAATGCAATGCGTGTTGGCACATGTTGGTGCCCTCTTGTAGTCTCTCTTGGTGCCCTCCCGAGGCCCTCTTGGAGTCTTCATCGGACAGGGGCCCTCCACAGCTCCAAAAGGACCCTAAGAAGAGCCCCATCGCGGGACCCTCCTGGGCCCTCTTGGAATCTTCTTTGGACCCTGTAGGAGCCCTCCCAGAGCTCCAAGAGGGCCCCAAGAGGGTCGCAAGAAGGCCCCAGGAGACTTCCAAGAGGGCCCCAAGACGGCTCCAAGAGGCCCCCAAGGGGGGCGCAACAAAAACTCTATGCATAGAGTTGGTTCGGTGCCCTCTTGGGGGCCTCTTGGAGCCCCTCGTGGGGCCCTCCTGGGCCCTCTTGGAATCTTCTTGGGGCCCTGTAGGAGCCCTCCCACAGCTTCAAGAGGGCGCCAGGGTGGCTTCACGAGGGGCCCTAAGAGGACTCCAAGAGAGCACCGGGAGGGCCCCAAGGGACCCCCACCGCCAGATACACAGGGCCGCAAGGACGGTGGCTTCACGAGGGGCCCCAAGAGGGCTCCAAGGGAGGACCAGGAGGGCCCCAGTAGAGCCCAAAAGCAAGCAACAGGAGGGCCCCAAGAGAGCACGAGTTGGGCCCTCTTAAGGCCAGGAAGAGCCCCCAGGGTCCCAGATGGCCTCAACTGGGCCGCAACTGAGGGGGTCGGGCGGACGATGGTATGAATTATTGCTGCTGGTAGCTGGCGGCATCCCCAACCGCCTGTCTTCGATCTGCGTTGAAATCCCAGCTGGGCTCGCGAGGCAGACACTCGATTTCACGTGCGAATGAGACCACGAAGCTGGCTGACTGCAAAAATGATTGCACCTACCACAGCACGGTAACGCGCTCGGGCAAGCAGCCACGAGATTGCGCAACAGCCTGCATGACATGTATACGCTGCGAGTGGGGCGACCTCGCCCCCCTCGTCATCAGACACCTCATGATACTCGTGCGAGCGGCCACCCCTACCACCCCTATCATCATCAGTGCATCATCGCTCTCCACCATCGCCGCTCCCCCCTAGTAGGCGAGAGCTCTGAACGAAAGCGGGCGTCACATGTCACTGTCACCGAACTCGCGCAGCAAACGACTGGGGCGTGCAAGCTGGTGGCCAAGGGCAGCCATGGGATCGGGGAGCGACGCATCTGCCTGGCTGCTCCACCCATGCCTCGAAATGGCCAGGGCTGCCTCAATATCGCTGTAGTCGCTGCGAGCTGGCCCGCCGAACTCGGGCTTGAGAAGCCACTTGCGCCTTTTCGGCGGCGCGGCTTCGATGGCCATCTCACGGGGCTCAGGGGCATGCTTGGCAGGCGTACCGTTGGGGCGGCGATCGTGCTGCTGCACCCTTAAAGGCGCCCCCGCATCCGCCGACTTGCACAACAAAAACTCGCGAGGGCACAGGAGTAGCGTCGGAGGGGTGCTCCTGGGGCGGGCTATCGGGCACGTCATGCACTGGCGCCTCTGATGCGGGCGCACAAAGGCGAGATGGCAATGGCGGCGCGCAGCTAAATGCTGCCGAAACAGAAACGGGGCTCACGGCACATTGCTGGCCATCAGGCAACTCGGGGAGCTCCCCCTCGAGGCCGCCGAAAGCCTTGCACGAACCCTCTGGGGAATCTGAACGGCCGCCCGCCGCGGCAGCGCTGCGAGGGCTGCCGCGCAACATGTTCGCGCCATCAGCGGACAAGGGCACGGTGGGAATATCTTGTGCGAGCCCGCTGGCCGCATCGAATGCTGCGCGGTCAGCTCGCCAGCCCGAATCGCAGGCGAAGCGAGATGGGTTAATGTTCACGGCAATCTTGAGCTCGAGCCCCTCGCAGATTGGTTCCCCAGTCCCGGTTGCAACGCCGCGATCTGAATCATCCGATGAAGCGACTTCTGTCGGGGCGGGCGTCGTGCAGCGTGACCCTATAATGAGAAGTGCCCCAGGAATGTTCACATCGATCCTTTTCTCGTAGACCATCGGTTTGCTCGGATCTGACAGCACGATGTTCAGGTTGGCAGTCAATCTTATTAGCCCTGTAGGGCGTAGGGTGTCCAAGGCGTTTGCTCATCCAACCCCCCTCTTCCCCTTGGAGGGTGGGTCTGCCACCCCCCCCCTCCCCTGGGCCTGGGCGAGGCGGGCCACGATGTGTCACGGGGTCGTTTGTCGCCCAAGACGGATCCAAGAGGGCCTCAGAGAGCCAGGGATCGCATCAACTATTGCCTAATATAGCCGACGATGCCACAAGATGGCTCCCAAGATTCTCCAATGGGCCCCAAGAACGCCCCATGACGGCTCCAAGTGGCCAGATAGCTCCCCAAGGAGGCCCAGCATATGCCCAAAACATTGAAACGTCAACCGAAATCAACGTATGATATTGGTTCGCCGTTTCGCTTCTGGCGGCCAACCGAGGCCCCAAGATGGCTCCAATATGGCATAAGAGGGTCCCACGAGAAGCCCGAGAGAGCCCCAAGACGGCCCCAGGAGCGCCCACGAATGCCCCGAGAGCGCTCCAAGACGGGTCCAGGAGGCGACTTTACGAACTCTCGAAGGGCAGTGCTCATTGAAGTTCCCTTGTTTGATCGATGTATTCCAGGATGGCTCCGATAGGGCTTCCGACGCATCCAATGCTGCTCCAAGAGGCCCCCAAGAGGCACCCAATAAACAAATAAGCATGCCCCCCGTTGCGTATACAACTCGAGGCCTCTAGTTATACATCTCCTCGGGCCCTCCCCCCGAGGACCCAATGCGACGCCCAGAGGCCCGAAGAAAGCCCCAGGAGGACCTGCAGTCTCCCGCCCACAGGGGTGGTGTCTATTTTAGTAAGTAACCCCAGCTGGGCGAAGTCTTGGAGCCCTCTTGAGACTCTCGCGGAGCCCTCGTGGGCCCCCCATTGGCGCTCTCTTGGGGCCCTCTTGGAGCCTGGGGAGAGCGGGCCCCAAACAGATCCCAAGGATGCCCCCAAAGGGCCTCAAGAGACCCTCAAGAGGACCCCATGCGGCTCCCAGAGCGACCCCCCCGAAACACAGGCAACGCCAACGGCCCCCCCGTGGGCCGCCAAGAGACCACTCAAGACGCCGAAAGAGGCATCAAACATTCGCCCAAGAGATATCCCAAGAGATTCCGAGGGGCATCCATGAGGCCCCTGGCCCTTTTGCTCGCCCTCCTCCTCGATCCTCATCATCCTTTTCCCCCTTATTTCCCCCCTCCTCCTCCTCCTCCTCCTTCTCATCGTGTTCGTCATCCTTCTCCCTCCCTCATCCATCCATCCACCCTCCGCCTTCCCCTCCCCCGTCGAACGGTTCGGCTGTCCCCCTCTCTGCTGAACCACTTCCCTCATCACCTCAACTCGCCTGAGCGTCGTTTCTGGATGGGCTGGTGGGGCGGCGCGAAGCATCAAGAATTCGCACTCCATGGCATCTCGAGCTCTCGGCAAAAATGGCACATGAGGAGGGTGCAATGCCCAGCCAACTCTTGACACTCGTG